CTGGCCGTCCCCACCCCGTGTCCCACACAGGGCTTGGGTCCCCTCAAAAAAAAAAAAAAAAAAAAACTCTGTCTCTGTCTCAAAAAGAGAGCCCCCCCCCCCCCCCCCGTCCTGCCGCCCGTCCCCGACGGAAGCATTACTCTGGGTCACAATCTCGGGTGCAATTTCTTTCAACTGACCTTCAGTTATTATTTACCCAGAAAGTTCTAGTAAAAACCTGCCCCGAGCTATGAGAAAATGGGACAGAACTGGCCCCGAGTGCAGGGTCAGGGCTGGCTCACGTGTGCTCTCAGAATCGCCCGTCAGCCCCTAGCACTGCCAGCCTCTTCCGTGTTGAGGGGACCCAAGCCCTGTGTGGGACACGGGGTGGGGACGGCCAGCCGCTCAGCCACTCCGGGTCCTCCAACTCTGCACCGCCAGCCTCTGAAACCTTTCACCCGACATAGATAACTTGACCTCCTCCGGCCTCAGTTTCCTCATCTGCTAAATGGGACCATGACGTTTGCCCAGCCTGTCTTATGGGGCGGGAGGGAGCAGTCCACGTTGAACAACAAGAACGAGGCCTCCCACGGTCCCTTCCCCTGGGCCTGGTGCTTTGGGACATTGCATCACTGACGAGTAGTGTCAAAGCCTACAGAGCCAGAAGGCATTTTTATGACTGCAAATCGTAATTAACGCGCCCCATGAACGAAAGGTCCACAATTAAGCTACGCGTGGGTCTGGGCACATAATTCCATGCAGGAGGTCAATCTCACCCGGGCAGAGGTTCGCAGAAGCAACCACAAGGGTGGTTGAACCCTCTCACGTACCCCGGCCTCGGGGGGCATGACGGATGTTCCACGTTGACAGCTGGAAGACAGCACAAAGCGGTCAGTGAGCTGCGACCTCAGACAGTCGGGGCACCGTGGCCCCTCGTGCTCGCAGACCCCACCATCTGGGGCCCGAGGAGTCAGCACGGGCGCCCCGTGACCTGCCCCTGAGCGTCCCCCCAACCCGTGTCCCTTACACCCACCCACCCACCCACCCACCCACACACGCGCGCGCACACACTCATGGGTGTCCACACACGTGCACAGTCTCCCCAAGCCTGCCAGCTTCTTAGAGAAAAGAACACTGCACGGCCGGAGGCACGGCGGTAGGAGAGGCACCCCCTCAAGCCCACCACGCGCCCCCCCGCGCCGGGATCCGGAGGAACAGCAGGGGCTGCGGGTTCCCCGGGTGAAATACGCCGTGGCAGGACTCTGTTCCCCGCTGGGAAGGAGGGGACGGCCCACAGCCCCTCGGGGACGCGCCCCCACGGGCCCAGCGACTCATTGCACACGGAGGCTCCGTGCAGTCAAACCAGGCAGTATGTGTCGGGCGTGGACGATGAGCCTTGGCGGCCAGCGGGGAGCTGGCCACATCTGAGACTTAGACGTAAAATTACGGGGCGCCTGGGGGGATTAGCCGGTTAAGCGTCCGCTTTCGGCTCAGGTCGTGATCTCGCGGTTCATGGGTTCGAGCTCCGTGTCGGGCTCTATGCTGGCAGCTCAGAGCCTGGAGCTGCTCCGGATTCCGTGTCTCCCCCTCTCTCTGCCCCTCCCCTGCTTGCACTCTCTCTCTCTCTCTCTTGAATAAACATTTATTAAAGGAAAACATACATATATATGAAATTACTAGCATGTGGGCCCTCCCCCTCGGCCCTCCGTGGCACACGAGCCCACCCAAGCCGACGAGGAGAGGCCCACGCACAGGGGACGCAGGACGTGATCCCGGGGCGGCCGGCCGGCACTCACCGTTGGAGCTGAGAGTCCCATCCTCGTACTTCTTGACCAACACCAAGTCCACGAAATCTCTGGGGGAAATGAGCTTCATGGCGGCCGAGGGGGTGGCGGTTCTGCTGACACACAGCGTCTGTCAAAGCCAAGGGGAGTCCAGCTGCCGGCCGGAGGTCTCCCTGCTCCCACCCCACACCCCGGGGTCTGGGAAACTGGGGAGGGGGCAGCGCTGACCGTGGACCGCAGGCTCTACATCAGGGCCACTCTGAGCTTAAGTCTCAGGGTCCCCAGAGTTGCCACTGACTGTGCGTCCAGGGAGAGCCAGGCTGGGCAAAGCTCTCGGCCCCCCCCCCCCCCCACCGCAACCGAGCTCTGAGAACTGGGTGTCATGAACCGCTAAGCTCAGGCGGGGAGCTGTGAACCGCCTGAGAGGCAGGAGGGGCGCTGGTTTTAGGCTAACCCTGCACCTGCCTGACCCTGAGAGGCTGAGCCAGGCAGCTTTCTGCTTCCCCACGTCCTGGCCCTGGAGGACGTGCCCCGGGAACCCCACCCCGTCCCAGAGCACCCCACCAGTCCTCTGTCCCACCCTGTAAGCCAAGGTCACCCTAAACCCACCCGGGCTCTAGCCCACTTTCCCCTGGTGCGGCGGGGCCCCGCCCTCTCAGGCTCACAAAGGAGAACAGGTGGAGGATGGGGCGGGCCGCCTGGGGGCGAGGGACGGCACGACCTACCGACCTACCGGCAGGTGTTTTCTCAGCCACCTCTGCCCCCAGGGTTTGAGTCTGCGTCCGGGCAGGCAATCCCTGGGGGGCACCGGGAGAGAATCCTTCTCCAGATGACCCACCCGGCCTCCCCCGTGTGCCTCCTAAAACCACCTGCCCGAGACCGGGCTCAGCTCGACGCAGGCCCTCCCTCCCCACTGGAGACACGGGCACAGCACGCTCGACCCGTCTGGAATCCTGTCACGTGCGCCCGAGTCCCCGCGCCCGAGTCCCCCAGAGAGCCAAAGGGACACGTCAGGATGCTGATTCCAACAGCAAAGGAGGGCACGCAGGAGTGAGAATGTCCTGCCCTCCCCTCTCTTGAGCAGATTCTTTTTTTTTTTTTTAAAGCATATTCTTTCTAAAGGCCAAAGCTTCTGTTAGAAACAAGGCAGTCCGGCCTTGTCTGAGTCCTCATACTGTGCCAGCACAGTTAGTAACAAGACGGCGGGCTTCTACTCCCGATTCCTGCCGCAGGATGCCTCGTCCCTGAAGGAGGGTGTTTGGGGACAGAGATAAAGAGGACACGGGTAAGAGACCCTGAAGGTGTCAGCGCGTGTCCTCAATGCCACAAGCTCGCGGCGTGGCCCTGTGTCTCATCCATCCGTCTGTCCATCCATCATCTACCTATCAACTCGGAGACTCGTCACAATCAGGCTAATCCACGCCGCCCTGCAGGGGAGGGCTCCGTCCCCCCCTTCTCACTGCTTCACGGAGAGGTCAGGAGGTGCCGTGGTCAGCCGCTTCGCCCGCTGAGCTCACCAGCAGCCGTGTGTTCCCCTCTTTGGTAGCTATTGTCCACTAAAGGCTCTTTCTTCCTTGTTTTTTTTTTTTTTTTTGAAGATTTTATTGTTAAGTAATCTCTACACCCAACGTGGGGCTTGAACCTGCAACCCCATGATCAAGACTCACACGTGCCATCGACTGAGCCAGAGGGGTGTCCCCTCTAACTTTCTAAGTGGAAAGTCTTATCTTTCCACGGACCCGTGAATTAAGTCAAGGAGAAAAGACCCCCTGTTCCTCTCATGAGAGATGTAAAATAGTTTACTTTTATAGTTTATAGTCCTTCATCAACATTGGTAATCTAATCATGTTATTTTACTAAATTGTAATCCTATCCTCAGTCCAGATTTGAAAAATTTTTAATGTACTTTTTAATTTTTTTTAACGTTCATTTATTTTTGAAGCAGGGGAGGGGCAGAGAGAGAGGGAGACACAGAATCCGAAGCAGGCCCC